ATGGCCTCCAACCTACTAGCGATGGCGACCAATGTTCAGGATTTAGAAAATACCGAGTATCAGCAGGAAACGACATGACCCTGCTTCTGGCTGATGGCCAACATTCACCCACATCGGGCAACTGTCTGTGCATATCGTTCCAGGCCCATGCAGTTAATGGAATAAGACCTTCAGCACCTACAGTAGAATCCCTCTGCCACGCCGGCCTAAAACATAAACAGCAGAAAGGTCATAGCGCACCGCCCCATATTTTGCAAGGATCTTCAGGGCCTCGGCCATTCAGCAGTTTCTGCAACAAGCTCCAGAAATGTGCGAGTATTGTACCATCAGGGACAGCACCTAGCCCAACATATTTTCCCTCCACTCGGCTGCGGGGTGACAGCTACTAAGCTTGAAGATTCTGGAACCCAAAGAACCTCATACAACTAGTCAATTCCCAATTCCCTCTGTCTGCACCAACCACTGCAGGTTCAAAGCCATTGCAGCCTAGGTACCCTGGCTGCATCGCCATGAACCTTCAGGATCCAAACCTCAATTACGAACCGGTCACGTTTGCATGGCCACTCCAAACGACACCCACATCTCGTCCTCCAACGGCATCGCTTTCGCTCTTTCTGCTTTCGCACTGCATCACCGAGAAACATCACAAAGCTGAGAGTACTTTCCAGTGGTGCTGGGTGCCACTGCAAGCCGGTCTTCGGCTAAACCTCGAGTGATGCAGAACGTCGCCAGCACTGTAAGGTGGCCAGAATGTTGGCTGTTGTGAATGGGTTCAGGTCATGGCCCACACACAGAACCCCTCTTGCTACTCTTGCATGTCCAAGCAGCAAATGTGACACAACAGCAGTGGCAGCTCAAATATCGGCTCTGCACCTGCCAAAGGCTGACTTTGAAAGACTCCGTGCAAATAGATTCCAACCGCACAAACGATATGGATCAGCCTGCCTGCTGGAGAATTCGGAACCACGACCAATTTGGAGGATGCAATTCGAACTTGTGGACCTTGGGCACCTTAGCGGAGGCATCTTGCCCGGATTTTGATCTGCCTCCAGCTTCAGAATATTGGGGCACAGCAACCCTGGCGAAATCAGCCCGAATGTTTTCACTGACATCTTCCCATGTTCATTGTGATTGCAGCCTGGGCGCTGCCTATGTCTCGGGACAAATGCTGAGCAACCAGGAGAGCCTGTTGTAGAATCTGCAGATTTCCACCACCTCCTCACCAAGCAATTTTCACAATTCTATTGGGTGTGAGATTCGGGCCAGGATGATATATATATATATATATCAGAGGTCAGAATCAAACATATCACAAGTCATAATAATATACATGTATATATGTATATATAATGTCATACTGTACAATATCACAAAAAGGCACGAAGGGCTCAAACCCTGAAGGCACAAAGTGCCTGGAATAGCTTGGCTCAGCTCATCTGCCCGCAGGGCCATAGGGAGCTTGGAGGCCATGTGCACCTGAACGGGGCAAAAGTCGAAGAGGCTAGGCGGCTAGGCATCAATGAAAAACCATGACTGAAGCATCAGTAAAACATTATCCACAGCCAAACTCCTCTGCCTAACGGGCCTAACCCAAAGACCAGGACAAAGGTGTTGCCAAGGGGCAGGGTCGAGTTCAAGGGCCGGTACTCTTTCATCGGCCGACATCGGTCTGGAGGTCTGTGACCCTCACAAAGGGGCCAACTAAACTCCTTTTAAAAAAACGGTCCCAAGAGCATGGGGCCAAGCGGCTGCGAGCGGTGTCTGGCTGTCATGCCACATGCTAGGAACAGTGAGTGAGGCAACAGCGGAACAATGAGAAATAATAAACTATATAATCTGATACTTGTAGGAGCGATGCGTTCATCTTCAAGGGAATTCCACCAAATCAGTCAGGCTAAGTCTATTCGCAATCTGCGCCACACAACCTAAACGTCAAATCTCCCTTCCGCCTGGACCACAGGTGGCCCCGAAGTGCGCCAGCAGAAAAACGCCTTCGTCCGCCTGTGGGGCTCGTTCAAAGGAATTCAACCGGCAACAAAACTGAAAGCGATGGCCTCCAACCTACTGGCAGCCTCCCCCTAATAGCACCCTAAGGGTGCAACATCTCCTCTTCCTCGTCCTCCGGGCCGGCCTGAGACCCTGAGAGCCTTGGCCGGGGCCGGTTTTCCGCATGCACCAACGAGGCCACAGGGCCTCGGACGCACAACGAGAACAACGAGAACTGAACCTCCTGCTGTGGTAACTCGCCAGAATGCTTGAATGCTTGGAGGAAAGGAAACAGTTGGAATTTGCATACGAATTTGCATGCCAACTTGGTCTGCACACTCTTGGCCGTCTGTCTCTAATTATGTCCATCCTGTGGCCAACAATTCATCTTCTGCTATGCTGCTAATTATGCTTTGCGGCAAATGGTGGCTGTGATCTGCCGAAAAGCACCTCCAACACCAAACAAAGGTAACCGCATGTGCCAAGCGGCTGATATCCACCACAGGCCGAGCTGCAAACCTGATTTTTTCCGTCCCAGGTGCCACAAGGGCTGGGACTCTGATACACTGGAAGTTCTTGCTTTTCATCAAACCCCAAACCCCATGCGCAGTACTCTGCTGATCTGTCCCAGGCGCGCTGCGAGCACCACAGCCTCGGTGGACGAGTGCAAAAGCATTTGCTGGAGCTCTCCTCATTCTGCTTATTTGATCTAAGACAGGCCCGAACAGCAAACTTACAAAGCACCCTCACCTGCTGGATCTTTGAAGTATGTGTTGCTTCTAAGGTTGTTGCAAGCCAACAACATTTAGGATTCAAAATGGTTCAAGGATTCTCCTTTCATAAACCTTTCTGCTCCTTTGCATGGTCACACCTCTCTCACTCCGCTGAGGAGGCCGCATCACAGGAGCCAGGCTCAAAGAGGTGTTGATCCTGCGCGGAACGAACTTGGAGCAATGCAAACACCTATGTAAACCCTGTAAGGATCATGTTCCTGTCAATCTTCTGCCATAAATTATCACAATTGATTCAAGTCTCTGGCAACATGATTTTGTTGCAAGCATCATGACTGCAAACTGCCTTAATCATCCCCGTCGCCTCAGCTCCCAGCACCTGCAAGCGCTCACCATGCTGCTGAACAGCATCACGGGTTTCCTGCCCCACCGAGGCTCATGATCATGATTCATGGTGGGCACAAGGCAACTCTGCATTTAGGAAACCCAAAACACTACCCAAAACCCCGGGACAAGGAGGAGAAAACCAAACTCTTGGCAAAGAATTTGGCCAACTTTGAACAGTTGACGGCATGCATTGGATTCATCTGTAATTATCCATCTCTCTCTCTCTCTCTCTCTGCCCTCACCTCGATGATTGCAGCACTCATCCGGAGCAAAGCCACGCTCAAAGGCTGAGGCATCTGTGAAGCGTAGGGCTCAGGCAGAGTCAAAAGCCTCGATTAGAATCAAATCTTGTCTCCAGCGTGTCATTAGAAGCCGTTTGTTGGACAAAGTCGGCGTGATTCTTCGTGAATCGATCTGATACTACTCTTCTTCCTTCTGGGATCTTCTGTGTTCGTCAAAGGAGATCTGCAAAATACTCTGCGGTCTCTCGATCTAAGGTAATTATGGCATCGAGTGGACATGCTCTACTGTGTCAGCCGAGTCACTGCAATGCCAACTCCAACCTCATTGCGACGCAATTGTGGCCTTCCGGAAACGGTTGTTGTTGCTCTGTGGCTAAGCCCGGGGCGTATGAGGCTCATGCCCGAGGAAACATATGCGAAAACCTCCTGCAGCTTCGAACTCTGTGAGCGTCGCTAGCAGCTCCTGACACCAAGAACACATCAGCCAACAAATAAAGAGATGTTAATTAACATCAATTAACTATGATGCGGGTACCCCGTTCCCATTAAAGATTGTCCCGTCAATCCTTCCAGGCCACGCCAGAGTCCACAGGCGTCGCGGCATGAGCACTCCACGGCAGGAGCGCCCAGCGCCACAGGCGCCACATGCCTCACCATAGTTCCGGCTAGCAAAAAGGGCATGGATTTTCACCAAGGAAAAGAATGCACTGTTTGGGTGTAACTGTCGTTTCTGTCTGCCGCAAGTTCTTGCATATTTTTCCCTGTGCTTAGGTAATTTCTCTACAGGACCAATTACTAAATACTCCGATTTAACTGGTTTAACTCACCATCAACTGCATCTCACCCAAAGTCCAGGCCTTTGTCAACATTCACCACACATCCAAAGAACTGGTGAGAGTGAGAGAAGCATCGCGTCAGCGTGGGAAATTGTATTCTTAGTTCAGTTTCTCAGCAATAAATTGGCTGAAGTGTGAATGAAAGGAATACCTTCGCTGACATCTGTTGACGGTTCATGTTCTACGCGCTCAGTGACATTGTTGAAAGACATACTGTAAATTACACTAATTACTAGTACTTGCTAAGTCGGACTTGGCTTGACTTGCTTGGACTTCTTGATTTGAACCAGCTCGGAGTGGCGGCGTTGTGCTGCTTGCTCTTCTTCGTCTTTGGCAGGTTCTCCGGTTCCCTCCCCAGAAAGGCGGCCAGAAATGTCCTATCGATGAATGGTTGTGAATCAGCAGTCCTGTAAACAAAAAACTTGCTTTGTGCCTTTGTCGGAACTTCACCACGACGTGTCAAAGGGGTCCACACATCCCGCGACAACGTGCCACCAGGCATGCATCTGCATCATCATGCATCTATGGCTGGGGTGCGGCTTCTTTAAACACATTTCTGATTGAAATTTTGCCACGGACCTCGCTGAATGTTGGTCAAAAACCAATCATATCACAAGGCCAATCCAGTGGACCCCAGCAATCTGATCAATCTTGGTTGGGATGTGGCACTTCTTGAATGTACACGCCCCATGCTACTAGGAGCAAGGACGCTACTAGGGGCTCCTGGCCTTACTACTAGGAGCAAGCACGCTACTAGGTCCGATCTTCTGGGATCCACCGGCGCCCTTCACCGGACCAGCGCGGACCGGTGACCGCGATCAGTGCCGGAAGGAGCGCATCAGCTCCGGCGGCGCCTGCTGCGGAGCAAAGTAACGGCGGCAAACCTCCGAGGCGGTGGTGAACTCCGCGAGGTCCTGGCGGAGAATGAAGTGCCAGTGAATTGAATCAAACAAAACACACACTTGGATGGTTGCTCGCAAGAGCTAGGATCAGTATGAAGTCCCACTTTAGGTGCAGTAGACCTTGACTGGGAAAGAATGCAAAAACCGAAAGGTGAAGAGGTCCGCGGACTTGGAATTGTTTTTTCAATGTTGGATAACACTTGGTATGCTGAGCAGTGACTTAAAATTCCCGCAGGTACGTCAGAGTGGCCAAATCTGATGTCACCAGATCAAATGGGCGTCTTCGTTGGTAGCGGTCCCAAATGATCTGCCGCTACCCCTGCCTTGTTGAAATTCCTTTGGAACAGGTGTGGACACACACACAAGTGTGACACACATCTAAAGCAAATAGTACAAGTATATATAGATGCATAAGATTGTATATGTGTATACACGCGCTCTGGACTACACACTAGACTCTAGACCTTAAACATGTACATATATTTGTATAAATATATTTATATACACAGTCTCACAGTCATATAACGTCACACACACATATATATACATACACATAATATAACAGTAGTTGTATAACTGCGACTTCGGGTCATTTAGAATTTGTGGACTTCTATAATCTTATATACACCATCTGGTGTGCTGACCAAATACATCCTACGACATTGCCCGGGAGGCCAGGGATCAGTCCTGGTAATGATGCAACATTGGACAAACCGATCTCCAGAAAGACTCGAACATCTGCGGGGCATCCACTAGAAGAATCCGCGCAAAGCGTCGAGGATAGTAGTTGTGGATGACATCGACCATGAAGCAAACAAACTCTAAATCTGCTTGTAGCGGGGAGAAGCCGTTGAGATCTATAACAGCAATGGCTTGCTCTATCTCCATCTGCTCCTCCGGAGCTCCAGAAGGCTCTAAGGTGCGGAGCTTGTCAAGGACCCGCTCCATGTACCATGCACACATACAGCAGCTCTCTTTAAAGCGCCGTTCCAGCACATTATGTCGGTTGGCAACCACCACCAGCACTGGACGCCCAGCAATGTCATGGTGTGTGTGAAGGTATGCCTTTCTTGAGCGCATTTCTTTCATGAAAAGCTCTGGACCCAACTTTTCCACACTGAAGTCCTGCCTCCATTTCAAACACTTCAGCAGCTTCTCTGCGGCTTCGCCCACATCCAGCTTGCGATCCCTCAAGAACCACCAGAGTAAAGCACGATTTTCGCAAGCCGGGCGACCCCTCCACTTCAAGCTTCTTGGAATCTGCTTCTGCAACTGTCTGACAGCTTCCTCAGCACTAAGCTGGTCCACTGCCCCAGCATCTACTATTGAGATCTGAGAGCTTCCCACTCCTCAAGGTTCAATGATGTTTGGGGTGGAAGCTGGTTTCCCTCATGCAACTGCACAACACTCGTAACTATTGTAATATGTGTGAGATATACTGTGGCACCTACTGTGACTTGAAACATCGTGAGGTTTCATTCGGGGGTTCAAGCGTGGAATAACTTCGTTTGTCACCTTTGAATGCTTTTGACAAAATTGGCTCATCAGTTCTGCCCAGCCTACCAGTGACGCCCCGCGAGCTGTGCGACCTCGTTTTCGAGCTGACCATGCAGTCGCACCGGCAAAAGCCAAGGATGCTAAAGCCGCGCTACCCACGCAGGTTTTCACTGCCAGCGCGGGCACGCCAGAGCTATCTTTTCGAAACTCTGGAGGCTCTAGACCTGGCTTGAAATAATTCTCCCGCAACTCATCCACTGTCACAAAGTCAGCCAACTTCGAATACTTCCCGAGGAGTGGTTTGATGTTGTCCCAAAATGCCTTGAACAATTCGGGCGCACCCACCAAAAGCACTTTGCCAGTGCGACCAGGGTAGTAGTTGTACAGTGCTTCAATCAAAAAGCCGGCCACTTCCAAATCGGCTTGCAAGGGTGAAAATCCCCTCAAGTCAAAGATGCCCAACGCTTGCTCCGGCGGGCCTTCTGGTTCTTGGGCTGGCTTCTTTGGTGGCTCAGCCATGCTGAGGCGTTTCAAGGCGGTTTCCAACATCCAGGTGCACATGCGAGAGCTTTCAAGCAGGTCACGTTCGAAAATGCTGTGCCTCCGGGCAATGGCCACCATCACGGGCCGCCCGGCCAAATCCCGGTGCTCGTGGACATAGCCCTTCCCAGCGCGAAGCTCTTTCATAAACATGTCCGGACCCAAATACTCAACACCTCAGAAATTCGGACCAAGAACGAGCCTTTCAATCACGAAAAAGCCGGGATTGAAAGATATGTCACACACATTGGCACGCAACAAACATCAGACAAATGCCTGGAACCTGAAGGTTTGCTTGCCATCAAGGAGCGGAACTTTTGACGCCACCGAAGGCATTTCACCAATTTTTCAGTTGCCTGATCAGGACGGAACTGTCGATCACGTGTGCCAACTTGTCCTTAATGTCGGTTTCATTTGTCATGATGTTTCATGGGATTTCGATTTCTTGCACTCCTCCAGAACGCCACGGACACCGAAACCTCCCAGCCGCAAAGGTCAATACTCCTCAGCCGCTGGCGCTGGTCCTGCCTCATTCACATCGAGGCGTCGGTCCCGCAAGAACCACCAGAGCAGCGCAGCATTGTCCACAGCAGGCTGGTGGTGATACTTCCTCCGATCCAAAGGAATTTCCATGGAAATTCCATGGAATATCATGGAATCTCTTTATGATTCTGTCTGCTTTCTGTATGTTTCATGATGATTTGCCAGAGCAAGCCCTTGACTCCTTGGCCTAACACGACCCAACATCCCACGGCAGCAACACTGTCTTTCAATACACCGACTTCTGACTTCCAGCATCGAACCACTTGCAGTCAAATAGCGGCAAGTCAGCATAGCCTCAGGCGGTCTTCTCTTGCAAGTGCATCACATCCAACCAACACAAGACCTGCCCTTCGACGTCACTTGCACCAGCATAGACCCCCCAAAAGTACATTGGAAAGGAAGGCTCATGGGGGTACTTACGTGTCCGCTCCATCTCTTACAACGGATCCCGAAGGTGATGGGGTCAGCGGGCAAGTGCGATCAGGGTCCGACCCCAGTCCAGTTCCAGGCAGAAAGGTACGACCGAACTAGTTCCAAGAGTTCCAGGGAATAGTTGCGACATGTTGCGACCAAAGCCTGGTTCCAGAGTCACAGTGTTCAAGAGTTCAAGGCAAAAAGTTGCGATCAGGGCCTGGTCTAAGCGAAGAAATAGCAAATATTTATAGACATTTCATGTGCTGTTGCTAGCAGGAAGTTCGATTAAAACGGCATAGTATAGACGGTGTAGGTCAGAGGGTTGCGTCTGGATGTTAAGAAGGCGGGTTGCATCTGGATGTTGAAAAGGTGTTTGGAAAACAGCCCTCGGCAAATGCCTTTGCTGCATGTCGAGAAGGGATGCAGGCTAAAGGATGCTAAAGGCAGAATGCAGTTTCCATGCCGTATTGAGGGATGCCCTTAATGAACCATCACTTGCACATCCTTTTTACAGACTCCAGCTTGGCCAGGGCAAAGGACTCAGTCCGGGAATACACTTCTGAGGTCTGCTCGAAATGGTATGTTTTGATCCCTTACTGGCCCCTTTCAAGAGAAAGGGTTAGGCCCCAGTGCCGAATTTGTTCCAGATGACATTTTGCCACAAGGGATGCTAGGTCTGTGCAGCCGCTGGAAGTACGAGAGGTGAGGTTGAACCCAATTCTCTCAGGGTGTGTCACTGATGGTTACGGAAAACTTGTAGTTCTTCCGCTGACAGCGGACAGCCTACTCAGCTTGGCCTTCATGCAAATACCAAACAACTCGTCCCACAAAGAAGTGGAACAAACCAAATCTCCAGTATGTGCTCCACATTGTCGTTGCCGTCAGCTGGAAAAACACGATTGTCGATGAACATGGACAAACTGTGGCAAACACCATGAGCTGCAAAGAAGGCTACGATGGAGCTGTTCACCTGGGTCAGGATTTCTGCTTCTGCGTTGCTTGCACAACCCCCCCGTGCATAAATAGAGGATCTGGCTCCTACCCGTCGACCGTCGACTGAAGAGGGCGGCGTCTCTTCGAAAGTACCCCCACCTTGCGATTCGCGGCAGTCAGGAAGAACGCCAAGGCGAAGGTGGCAAAGGTTCCGCGCCAAAGGAGCTCTGCATCAACGTTATAAGGGTGCCACCTCACCCACTTCTCCGCGTGCTCCCAGGGCGCAAAGATGGGCATTATGAGGCCAAAGGAAAAACTTGCAAAAATCAGGGTGTAGACCTTCACTCGCAGTTTGTTGACTGGGTCGGCCAGGTGACCGTAGGCTCCTTGGCAAAAGTCCTTGACCCAAGCAAGGTTGCGCAGGCGCCAGGCCAAATCTAAAATGGCCACAATCAATGCAAGGCCCAGCTGCAGCCACAGGTCTGCAAAGGCACAGCTGAGTTAAACGTATTGGCAATCAGGATCGCAAACACATGTTGAAGAGATGTGGGTTAACACCAGATGGCTAGAAGGACGCTCTGAATTGTGAGCCAAATCATAGCCATCAACAGGAGCGGCTGCAATTGCAAGGAAGTCCCACCATAACACTGCCGAAGAAAACAGGAAAGCCAAAGCCAAAGAACACCGTGAGTCGCATGCGATGGTAGGGGGGGCCGATTCACCGGACGAAGACCAAGTTCCTTGGCACTGGCGTCGCTCTCATTGCCCTTTGTTAGTTACTAGAAGTAAGGTAGTAAGAATGCTCCTAGTAGCGATGCCATGAGCCCCTAGTAGCGTCCTTGCTCCTAGTAGTAAGGTCAGGAGCCCCTAGTAGCTTGTGGCCATGAGGTGGACAAGGCACAAAACGATGCCAAGAGCCGCAAGTCGCCATCGCCCGCCTTCCGGCAGCTTGACGTTCTCCGCGCCATCGTTCAGCCTCGGTGGTCGTAAGCCCGAACGTTCCATTGGGTGCGCCATGGTGCACCATGAATCCAAACAAGGTTCGCCCTCGAAAGTCTAAGCAACTCGGGCCCCGACCCCATCTCGCCATGCCAGTCCGAAGGATCCCTCCCAACCGTTGCAGCAGCCATGGCAGGGGTGCAACCGATATCGTGGAGTAATCCTGTTGAGTGAAATTGGCAAAGCATGTCCGCAAATGACCATACGGTACATAGGCTAGTACGTAACCGCTGGCACGCTGGCAGGCACCCTGTTCACTGGGCATGATCGTGCTTGATCGTGTGAGAGTGCTGGGTACACTCATGATGCTGAGTGCGTTCACATGCGTTCACCCTTTGTTTGGACAATGTTGGTCTGGCTCCACTTCAACTGTCGGTGCAACCAGTGTCATTCATCCACAGTTGCTACCAAACTTCCAGTCTGCCGCCCAGAACCTGTTTCCGTGCCATGAGTGCCCCTATGCCACGCAGCCTAAGCTTCCACCATCTCTCAAGCCCAGAAACCTTTCAGCTTCTGCTGCACCTCCGCGATCCGTGCCCAGGCAGTGGCAGGCTCTACATCAGTGGGCTGGATGTAGGTAGATCCTTGAAAAAGCCGCAAATACTAGAAACATTGAGAGATTGAGAAACTCAAGAAAAATAAAGAAAAACAAATTAAAGTAAGTGAGTGAGTGAGTGAGTAAGTAAGTAAGTAAGTATAGGTAAGTAAGTAAAAGCAAGTAAGTATAAGTAAGTAAGTATATGTAAGTAAGTATATGTAAGTAAGTAAGTCTATAAGTCTAAGTAAGTAAGTGAGTAAGTAAGTAGGTAGGTAAATAAGTAAGCAAGCAAGCAGTTTAATTTATACAAGTAAGAGAGAGGGGAGAGACGAAGAGAAAGGCTGGCACTGGTTCACAACCAGTTCACTTCGGAGTAGCCAATCTCCTGCCCATCAAGTAGACACAATTTCGCAGGATGATATCCTCTTCGCATCGGCCAGTTGGGGCTAGGTCCAAGGTCATCTGAATATTGAATATCCCGTGGTTTGAAGCATCTCTCCCGTTGTTTGACAGAACTATAGTAGCACTTGGGAGCTTGTACTTGGATCTTTTGTCGGAACGCATCCCCTTTTCAAGTTCAGCAACCTCCGCACACCAGTCCAAGCAAGTCCAAGCGGCATGTTGCCATCATTTCTCTCTAACATCTACTCCCTCCGGACTCCGGTTCCTTTCGAGCAATGACGATCATCATCGGAAGATGTTGAAAAGTCGGCCTAACACGGCCAAGAACCAGGTTCCAACACTTCTTCTTCCGGCCAAGTGTCCAAGGTCCGCAGCTCGTGACACCGTACGCCAGGTCCGACCCACCTGAACATATTTCGTGGCAGCAGGGAGGATGGATGGGGAGCAGTAGCGCAGGGCACAGGGGATGTACAAATGGTTCACATCACATCTACTATAGTCGTGCACTATAATTAATGTATACGTATAGAATAATATAAAATAGTATATTTATATTAGTCATTAGTCAATTGAGCGAGGTATCGCCATCTGCGTCGTCCAACAAGCTTCAGCAAAGCCAGAAAGTCCCCGAAGCCACCGGCCCATCCTGCTCACCGACAAAAGTGAAACCAAACCTCAGTGCAACAAGTGGGCCATAAAATGGAGACCTCATGTATCGTCCACCTGTTCTGCATGCGTAACCTTTCCTTCTCTGGGCTCGTGTTTGAGGGCATGACCTTAAGTACTCCGATTGATATCCGCTTCGCATGCACAAAACGAACAAAAGGACGCCTGAACCTCCCAAACAGGGTCAGCTTCCAAGGTTCAGGCGTCGCTGTAAGGGCAAGAATCACCCAATCACAGCCTGTGGCAGGAAATGGGTGTTTACCACGCACTAAACCTCTCCAAAAAAGCTACAAGGCTGGAAAATTGAACACAACCCACATGAACCCACATCCACCCACAACCCACTTGGCCCAGTTCAAACCAATTCCCATATCATATCCAGCATCATCCGGCCCACATCTGAAGACCTTCAAAAATTCGACCATCGCGGGCACCTGGACACCACTTTGGAAGTCCACGTTTGACCATGGCGCAGCTGGACCGGGACTTGATGCCGTGTCCAGCTCAAGAGTTTAAAGCAGAAAAGGGCCCAAAGGACGAGTGGTGGTGACAAAGAGCCTTATTTGAGATGAATGGGTTGTTGACAGTGTGTTGGCGTCTTCTGTGAAATGAGTTGGAGCCAGAAATGGTACCCAAACAAATTTCCAGTTAGTCAGTTACCCTCACTGAAACCGAGGTGTGGTTCATGTCACAAGAACATGATTGAAGATTGCCAAGGGTTCTTTGAAAAGGCAACTTCTTGGAGTTTTTGCTCCGTCTGGCTCTTCGCTTCGCACCCTTTGTTCATCTGGGACATCACAAAAGTCCAAGCTAAGCTCCACCTGCCATTGCTCGACTTGCATCGCACATTCAACATGAAATTCATGAAAGGCACCAGTCATGTGCATTGCCAAGTGAAACTTTGAAAGCCAGTAGGTCAAAGCAAGTCTGCATCGATCTGCATGGATATGCTCAAACATGCTCAGCTGGTCTCAGCTCGCTCCATGAGATTCCAAAAAGAAAATCGAAAAGAGTCTGATGCCCTTTTTACTAGTAGCTTCTTGTTCCCAGTAGCAATGCCAGGAGCTACTAGTAGTTTCCATACACGAACCAGAACAAATTGAAAGTAGAATCACCTGGTCAAGCCTCCTCTCCAGCACGTTCCACCAAGAAGCGCTTGCGCCCAGGCACATCCATCTGCTGGCGTAGCTCCTGCAATGCGCAGACTCAAGTGCATCCGCGATCATAGGCATAGGTGAATGTTCTTGGGGACGCCTGAATAGAAAGTAGTCTTATTGTTACTAGTAGTAAGGCACTTGTTCCTAGTAGCTTCTTGTTACTACTAGTAAGGCACTTGTTACTAGAAGCGATGCACTTGTTCCTAGTAGCTTAAAAAAGACCTCTTTTTGGATATCTAAAGGTTGACGGGAGGCATGCGAGGCATGCCTGTGCTTCCACATCTGACGACACTCATCCAAGTCGGTCCATGACTCTTGCGTGGTTGGAGGTTGTGCCCAGTTGTACCCTTGTACCCCTATATTGTTGCCTTCAGCATGAGCCACTTGCCTGTGCAGCCTGTATGATCACAACCACGACCCATTTGTCCATCAGCTACGATTGTAATATCTAGCAATTTCATGCAATTTCTCTTGCATGACTCTCTGATCACCATCTTGCGGACCATAGCTTCCTCGAGAGTGCCAACCCAACGAACCCAAACAACCGTTCATCAGGGTAATTAATGTGCGGTGGCCCTTCCGATGGAAAGTCCCATCCAGTCACAGAGCCGACTCCTCTTGCGTTGTGATCTCCACATCGTCCACCTGTTGGATGATGTCTCCCGGCAGAACCCCAGCCTGGGCCCGTGGTGTGCATTACTGTAGTCCGACTGACTGCAAAATGAATCGCAGGGATCTGGAAGGAATGCGAAAACATGTTCACATTGTGCGCGCCTTTGCGTTGGGCCTTACACACACACGCACCAAAGAGTATCAAATAACCTACCTACAACCAATCGATTCCTGGATAATGATCTGACAGTCTGACAATATATTTTTTGAACCCTCCGGCCTACGCCGATGAACTGCATATTCTATGTATACATCAATTACTATACTATATCATATATATATGTGTGTGTGTGCGCCATGTGTTTAACATTTGCATCTTATTCAGCAAGGCCAGATCCAACTTGATCTTGAAGCAAATCTTGCCAACAGCGGCCAACATAGGCGCGCACCAAGCCCGTGACAGCTGGACTTGTTGCCCCAAACGACTCAAAACGATTGAAGCGACCCATGTAGGCCCGCGCACCTTCGCTGCGACGGAGTCTTCGATTACTTCCAAGACCCGCAAATCATCCAGGTAGGCGCCCATGGGGTATCGAGGGCCTGGCTATCGCTATGACATGTCACCAGCAGTGGGCTGATTCCTACCCTGCTACTATAGCTTTAAAGCAAGATACAGCAAGGTTTGGAGCGCAGGATGCTGGGGCCCCTGATCTCGCCCAATAGGCATTGATAGTATTTATTTACAATGCAGTACATGTAAAAACATGTAAAAAACAATTTTAGAAAACTGTTTTGGGGGTCCATCCTCCCATGTTGATTCTTGTCACCTCACTCAAAGGGGCGTCGGCTGCGCTCGCCTGGAGTGACTTCGATGCCCTCTCCTGTCAGAAGCTGAGCCATGCCAAATATCAGCCCTCTCTCCCGCGTGTTGTCGCACTGTTTTCACATGTTCTACATACAATCCTCTTTCGTGTCCATCGGCCCTAGACAGCAAGAACGAGGGTGGTTTTGGGTCGGCTTGGCACACTGTGCTCTTCTGGCATTCTTCTGGTGAGGCACCCAAAATTGCCTTCAATCAGCTGAAATTGCTGGAACTTCTCGTGAAGCCACTGCATAGCCTTTTCATCCTGCCGATCGGACAGTTGAATCCACAAATCCGTGTTCAACATGTTCAACCCTTTGTGCTGCCCGTGGGGAAACAGCCAACCCGCCACCCGCCCCTTGTCATCCATCTTTGGCTCAGCGTGCAGCAGTGGCCAACAAATAGCAAAGTTGGACACTGGGACGACGGTATAAGAAGTGACACGTCAAGTGACACGAAGTGAATAGTTCCCTGCATTGAGCTGTATGAAGTGAACTTCCCTGGCTTTTCATGAGTTGAAGGGATCTGAGTGAAAGCCAAAAAGCAGCCAGCTGCCGCCAGCTTTCTTTCTCGCCAGCAACTGCACATCTGTACAACGCTCCCAAGCTGAGGGGATGATTGGGCCGTGAGACAAATTGCAACTCAAAAGGCAGGCTAGGCATGGCTAGGCAAACTTCAGGGAGAGGCACAGCAGCTCTTGTCCCAAGGCCATTTTGTAGCGTCGATCCTTCAGGGGCGCCCACGCTGCGACACACAGTGACAAGAAAGCTAGTTACTAGTAACAAAGGGCATTGCTACTAGGAACAAGAAGCTACACATAGTCTCACTAGATCCGAATCAACCTCAACACTTCACATTCTGCGGTGAGCAACAGCGGTGCCCCGACGCCCAAAGCAACCGAGAAAGCACAAAAGGAACACACTAGAAATAAGGGACAAAGAACAGGTGAGCAAGTTGCTACAGCATGCCCATTATGCGAATGTACGAGCATAATAGTGCCACGCTACTAGTAACAAGTGCCTTACTAGTAGTAACAAGGACGCTATTAGAAACAAGTGCCACGCTACTAGTAACAAGTGCCCTTCTTATTGTTACTACTAGTAAGGCACCTGTTTCTAATAGCGTCCTTGTTACTACTAGTAAGGCACTTGTTACTAGCATTATGCGAATGTACGAGCATAATGGAAATATATATGTGGAACAATTGCAGGATTGGTGATTGGAGCTCCGGGCCCACCTGCTCCTTGTCACGTCGGAACTTTTGGAGGTTGCGCTTGGATTCTGAGAACTTTGGCTGCTCTTCTTGTCTTGCACGCCGATCCCATTTCTTTTGCCGAGCTATGGCGGCAGGAGGAGCTTTGGATGAGTTCGCACCATGTTGTTTGTGATGCCGGCCGCTGCGGCTCACGTGTGACTTGAGGTAGCCTCCATGCTTGTCGCGCATCTGCCACTCCTCATCTGACTCCATGTCCTCTATTTTGTCGCTGTCCTCGAGGTCGGACAGCCAATCGTCATACATGAACTGGAAATGCCTCTGAAAGTCGTCATTCAGTGCCTCCTCCAAGTCATGTTTTTCGAAGAAGGTCGCCATCACTTCCAGGACTTCCTTTCTCTTCTCAGATTCTTTGGCCCTGGCAACTGCCAGGACCGCATGACGCCCAAATGTGAGGACCATCAGTGCCTCAACCACGGCTTTTCGGACCTCCCAGTGGGAGCTCAGCAAACCCAACTCGACCATCGAATCCAGTAGCTCTCGTCCTACAGTCGGAGTGCAAGAAGAGTCAAGAAACATGATGTTGCCAGAATTGGGTTGAGTCGCTATGCTTATCACAATCATGATCAACCCAGTCCATGACTCCTCACCTATCCTGCCGCACAGGTAGCTTCACAGAAAGCAAATGACTGACATCTACTTACTCCCAGACTTTCGAGACATAGACATACCCATGATTACGAACGAATCATTGGACAATTCCAAAATAATATACTGTACTGCATTGCATTCTGCTCCTGTCCTTCCAAAAAAACGCGGTCTGCAACCTCCTCTGCCCCAAGGGTGGCCTCCCACTCCTGGAAGCGGCGGCGCAAGTAGCGGACCGTGCTCACAGCCACTGCGCAAACAGCCTCTTCCACGGAGCTCGGATGCTCGTCAATGCTCCTTGGGTGGAGGAATGTCTTGACTGGGGTGTGGGACAGTCGGACAGTCTTTGGAACACAAGGAGACATTGGACGACACCATGGAAAGCCTTCTTTTCCTGCTGCCATGGATCTCTTGCCACCCATGCCATCTAGGCCAGTAACCATCGAGCTTCCGTGCCAGGTCTTCACAAAAACGGAGGAGTTCAAGTTCATGCTGATTCCCAGCCGCCGTGGCGGAATACCTCTCCTCTCCAAGGTGAATATAGAGCTCTAGGAGGTCCTTCGGTATGATGTGGAGACTGTTCAGGCGGCTCTGGACACCGTCTCCACAATCACTTTCCTCAAAAGCTGGCACACACTTTGTCAAATAAGCAGCAGACACGTTGTGAACGTCCTCATCAAAAAGAGCTCGAACAAGGTTTCGACGACTGATCTGGCAACAGCATAGCTTGTGGAAGGCAGGCACCGGCAAAGGTCCACAATCGTTTTCGAGCATCTTGACAATTGAGTGAATTGCTGCAGTCCGCGTCTTGGCAGCCTCTGACTGGCACATCTCTTCAAAAGCATCGGAGGCACTAAACTTCCACCCATTCCATCCAAATAATAGAACATCAGCAGCATACGTTGCTCCTGCCTCCTCTAACCAGGACAGTGTATGTGCTGCGGCATTTCTCACTTGGATTCTTGGTAAACGTCTCGGGTCCATGACACGAACACCCATCGCCACGGCCTCCTCTGCATCCTCGCGCAAGAGCTTTGCAACGTCACTCGCGTGGGCACTGGCATGGCGCGTCATCCAAGAGAGCGCACGAAGGGCGCTCACTTTCACGGAGCTGTCCTCGTTTGTTAAGCAGCGTGCTATTGCTGCTGCAGTGTTTCGAGATGGATAGGAGGCTGCCAACTTTAGCTTCTCCACAATTTCAGCTGGTTGGGTGGGCCAACTGTTCAGTACTGTGATCTGGTTTCCAGGTTGCAATCCAAGCGTGGATAGAAGCTCGTTGCTGTGGATCTCTTTTGCGCCTGAGTCGCAGGTCATGATCAATCGCTGAACTGGCATGGGGATCATCAGCATCCGCTCAATGGCACCATGAAGCTGGTCCACGCATCCAGATGCAAGGGCTGCAATGATGCAGCTTTGGCCTGACGGAGTGCACACCGTGACGTTGATACGTCCTGGCAGGGTAGTCATGGCGCTGTCTTCACGGGCTCGTGCTGAGGCTCCTTGAGAGCTTTCTACGGGTTTTTCCGCTGAGGCCAGGGTGAAAAGGCAGCAAACATTTACTTTACTGTGACTGACATCTTCACAGAATGCAACGAGGAAAAACAACAGCACAGGCCCGACAAGCCAGATGCCACCCGCGACGGCTCATTATAGCAATCTTCCCACTCCCGCAAGGCACCTTCAGGAGTTGGTCCATCCTGAGACGGTCAAAGAACTATCTAAACAAGATTCTACCAACTGCCTTTAGGTCGTATGTCGGCACCAACGTTTTCCAAGGCATGCACAATATCGTACGTTGAAGTTCAAAGAAACATTCAATGCCATATTATGCCAACACAGCACTACATTCAATCCACTAGACAGTTTTTTCTGGATTTGTACACCAAGTCTTCTTTGAAGCTAAGGTTCTGCAAGCATTGGCTTTCATTCAAGCATTGAACACTCTGGAAGTGTTGCGCCAACTCCGACAGCGTCTGCTCCACATCCAAGACATGGGCCTTGAAGCAGGTTTTTCCGCTTTGAAGAGTTTCTCTGGAATGTGATGGAATGTGTCGAAAGCGTTGCACAGCTTTTGTCGATAAGGTTTCCATGACGTTATGCTCGATCAATTGGGCTTGCTTTCTTTTCAGAGATGTTTCTGAATCGGTGCCAATCCAGAGAGATGGGGGGAGCAGGGGTGGCGTGCACATGTTGTCTTCGGTGGAGACTTGATAAAGGATACCTAAATTCACAATTGTGCTCTCGGCAGTTGGACAACAAAATCTTGTCAACACAAAATGGCTCAGAAGTGCATCTTCCAGCTCCAGCTCTCAGCCTGCCTCAGCGAAGGCCTGCGGCTCTTCTGGTCCTTGGTTTCAGGTGTCAATGATTGGTATAAATTACGTATGATTGATTTGGTGGTTTCTCAGCTTCTCAACTATATAAATCCTTCTTCTTCGCAGCTGAAATCTATATATAAATAGACTGTGGCCGTCTATAGGCCTCCTCCAAAGGACAAACAAAACGACCCACGACAACTGGCGGTGGTTTCTGGGGACATGGCCCCGGTGTGGCTCTGTGGAGACAGGAGCTGTTGCATCATCTTCTGCTATTGACAGTGTCAAGCATCCAGGAAGATCACCTGCGTGGCCGACAGCGTTGCACCAAGTACTCAGGAGTCATTCCAGAAATACCTCCAGTCTTGGCTTCGAATACCCGGCCTTGCTCACCCTCTCTTGGAGCATCATCTGGTTCGCCAGTCTGCAAGTCTGCTGGCTCCTTCCATGATATGGGACACACAGCAATTGTCCGGCAGAAGGGTCAAGTGAAGCAGCCTCAGTCAGGTCCAGGTGCTCTAAGATCTCTGCAGCTGCATCTCTCACAACCTTCAGTCGGCCAGAGTCCAACCTAAGAGTGATGGCCTCCTCCCTAATAGCCTAATAGCGATGACCTCCACTACAATACAAGCAGTGGCCTCCAGACTTAAGAGCGATGGCCTATCTAGAACTGTATGTCTTGTCCTCAAGCGTGGCGTGGCTAGGCATTGTCTTTGGTCGCATGGGTGGTTGGGCACGAGTCGAGATGTACACGAATCACGAATCCCGTTCTAGGAGTTGGATGGAGTTGGATGGTGCTAGCAAGGCACATCATCCTCATCCAGCACCAAATGCAGGGCCTCAAAACAGGCTTCAAACATCTTCAAACATTCCAGGTCCAGGCCCCAGATCCATGCAGATCCTATGCATTGCGTGGGAATAGTCGACCTCTTTGACCCAGTTGTTCCCCAACCACTACGTGTCCGACGGCTTCTTTGAGCTGCCAGCTTCCTGCACAGCTCAAATCCATTCGGAATTGGTCAAGTTAAACAGGATTGACTCTCGAAGTTCGACCACTTGACAACCTTGCAGCACTCCAGGTTTCGAACCTGCTCCTACCTGAGATTCAGAGCTGTCCAAGCCTTCCCCAGCGATCGCTTTGAGGGCATCCAGTGCTGCCAAACGGACCTCAGAGGCGGAAGCCCTCATTGATAGGAAGGCTTAGGTCAAACAAACAGAACTCATCAGACTGCAATGGACAACTTAGGATGCATGCGGGGTTTTATGACAAACCAAGATTGAACATAATTTCCTGTGAGTCAGTGAGCCCCGAGGTTCCAGGCGCTGGGGTCTGCATCGGCTTTCGCCATCTGGGTAAGCCTCATAGGAAGCTCTGAAAGTTCTGTACATTTGCCAGTAATCCTCCTGTCATTCTAAAGCAACACCTATCGAGCCCTCATTTCTTGCTTTTTCCAAGTATATAGTCAAGCACTGGAGTCCCATATATAAACTTACTGTATGTGCATGCATATAGGAAAATACAATTTCACATCATCTTATACAGTATTGATTATTCATTAATGCTGTATATCTATTATCTGTCTGTCTATGTCTGTCTGTCTATCTATCCATCTTTGTATATATATATAGTTATATGTATATATATATATATATCTATCTATCCATCTATCTACAGTATCTATACAGTCTATACATTCACCTTAGGCCCATAGGTTACTGTCATCATTGTTTTGTCTCGCTCTGGTCACGTAGCTGATCGGAGCTGGGCGGGCCTGGCATCCGGTGACGACCAGCGGCGTGTGACACCCAAAGCGAGGTAAACAAGGCAAGATTGGTGAAGTTGAGTCTGAGGCGGATCAAGACTTTCAGGCATTCATATCGAAGCTGGACACATATACACCCCTATGATCCGAGGCCATCCGAATACCTCGGGAAGAAACCTTACAGTGTAGTTGAAGTCATTGTATATGAACTCATTTACTGAAGAAATCTTCAAGCTCCCATCCCGGCCGAGTGAGCCAGGTCCAAAGAGCTCCAGCGCCTTTCAGGTCGAATCAGAGTGCTGTAGTCTATCGCTTGTGGCAGAGGCCAATACGCTGGAGTTCTTTCAAACACTTTTCACATGTCCCTGCATTTGAGCCAGACGCTTTGACATGTCTAGTCTAGCGGCTCATTGCGCACTTTCTGGCAGATCTAGTTAGTGAACCGCCCGAGAATTTGAGACCTGCAAAGCCATGGGGTACAGTATGGTACAGTAACGTACAGCCTGTCCTGGACATTTTTAGAAAGACCACGCCATTGTCATTCATTCGGTCGTGTATCACAGTGCAGTCCTTCTGTCGTCGCTGCTGTTTCTCGATCTGCTGCTTCCGCAACACGGGCGCGACTGGCAAGAGGACGTCCCAATGCTCTAGTGCAAATGGCAAGTACCTAAAACACATGCTTGGATTGCAAGGCGCACTCATAAAGAAAGTTGGAAGCTAGAGTGGCACTGAGTGGCCCTGACTAGCTTCACATGGATGTTTGCCGCTCCGAGTGGCACATGGATGTTGCTGATGTCAATCATGTGGCCCCATGGCAAGTGTTGCATAGCGGACAAGAGCAGCTCCTTAATCTCCTGGCATAGGCTCATAAAGAATCATAAAGAAATGCTACTAGTAGCTTCTTGTTCCTAGTAAGGCCAGGAGCTAGTTACTAGTAGCGTCCTTGCTCTGTTCGTAGCGATGCCCTTTGTTCCTAGTAGCTTCTTGTTCACGACTCCGGTGTCACAAGGCACATCACAGAGCATCGTGCATTGCATGCTTAGCCGCAGTTACCCACTCAGCTTTGATTGGATTAGTCTTGGAAGTCTTGAACTCCGGTCCCATTTTTCTTTAAAGTCTAGATTCAATCAAGATCAATTTGTTGCTACTGGTCGCGATTAATTTGACGTCTGCTGTGCCAGCACTTTGCCTTCACTCGCGTCTCAATCGTCCGCGCGCCAACGCCAAGAAAGCGCGCCACCTGCATTACAACGGGGCTCAGCAACAGCTTTGGCTTGAAGAGTGGTGGCAGTGGGAGGGCCATAACATAGCTCCGCACTAAAGGAGGGGAAATGGAATGCCTCTCATTGACAATATGCATGCAAAAAGAATGTCCACACCTTCACCTGCAAAGAAGAGAGTAAGAACCCCAGGGGGGTAACATACATACCTTGTTTTCGGAGGTTAGTAGGTATCTAGCAGGCATCCCCTGCCTCCCCCCCCCCAACTAGGTATGTATGTATGTATGTATGGTCCAAAGGTACATACCTCAAAATCAGGGGTATGTATGTTTCTGGGGAACATACATACCTAGAAAATGAGAGGTATGTATGGTATGTATGTATGTTTGGGGAAACATACATACCGAGACAAGAAGAGGTATGTATGTATGTATGTATGTATGTATGTATGTATGTATGCATGGTCCAAAGGTACATACCTTCAAAGCATACCCAGTATGTATGTATGTCCGGGGAAACATACATACCTAGAAAGTGACAGGAATGTCTGGTATGTATGTATGTATGTATGTATGTATGTCTGGGGAAACATACATACCTAGACAAGAAGAGGTATGTATGTATGTTTGTATGTATGCATGGTCCAAACGTACATACATCAAAAGCACGGGTATGTATGTTTCTGGGAGACATAGAAGAGTCATACATACCCAGTATGTATGTATGTATGTCCGGGGAAACATACATACCTAGAAAATTAGAGGTATGTATGGTATGTATGTATGTTTGGGGAAGCATACATACCTAGAAAAGAAGAGGTATGTATGTATGTATGCATGGTCCAAACGTACATACCTCAAAAGCACGGGTATGTTCGTTTCTCGGATACATAGAAGAGTCGTACATACCCAGTATGTATGTATGTCCGGCGGGGAAACATACATACCTAGAAAATAAGAGGTATGTATGGTATGTATGGATGTCTGGGGAAAGATACATTGAAAAGAAGAGGCATGTATGTATGTATGTATGTATGTATGTATGTATTGTCCGAACGTACAGACCTCAAAAGCACGGGTATGAGTGTTCCTCGGAGACATAGCATCAGGTAAAAAGCGAGGTCTGTGTGTTTCGCAGGGCTCCCAGTTTGAGGTATGTATGTTTCCCAGGAAGATACATACGCATGAGTGTCTCGGTATGCATGTTTCCCACAAACATACATACTCATTATTATCCAGGTATGTCTGTGTCCCACAAACATATATACCTAGGACTTGGAGGTATGTACGTGGTCTGAGAAACATACATACCCGTGAGATTGAAATATGTATGGTTCGCAGAAACATACCTACCCACAATATTCCGGTATGTATGTTTCCCATGCAGATACAGACCGTTAGTTGTTTAATTTATATCCGTTCCCAGAAACACACACCGAGGAGGTATGGGTATGTCGGCCAAACAGAGATTACCTTCAAGTATGTATTTTCCCTGCAACAATCATGCCCTTGACCTTGAAGGCAGTATAAGGAGGAAGAGAGATATGTGGCATTCTCGGGATGTGCGTATACATGAACGTGGACTGTCTCACACAATGAAGCATGCTCCTCTCCGTGACCTCCCCCCCCAAGGCAGGTATGTATGTACGTATGTATGTATGCATGCGTGCGTGTATGTCTGTGAGGGCCCGTGACCATGGAGGGGGCATTGAAGTATGTCTGTATGAATGGATGTAAGTCTCATGGTGTTTGGCGCATGGGTATTAGACGTGTGTATGACGTAATGCATGTATGTGTGGGGAAACAGACATCGCTAGAAAATGACAGGTATGTATGTCTGTTATTGGTATGTATGTATGTCTGGGGAAACATACATACCTAGAAAATGATAGGTGTGTATGGTATGTATGGCTGGCGAAACATACCCGGCCCTGCCCAGACCGAGGCGTCGCATCATTCGAGGCAGGGGTAGTAATAGGTTATCAGACATACGTTGCACAGTCGTCGACGTGCGAAGGGGCTCGCTTCGCTCGCCCCGCGGGGGAGGCGCTGCGCCCTCCCCCGCACCCCCTCCCGCGATTTATGAGTGACACCCCTCACCGCTGCTGCATGTTCGTGACGACACAACACACACCTAGAAAAGCAGACGTGTGTATGACGCATGGGTAGTAGACGTGTGTATGACGTAAAGTCTGTATGTGTGGGGAAACTAGAAAATGACAGGTATGTATGTCTGCGTGTGTGTGACGCATGGGTATTGGACATGTGTATGACGTCATGTATGTATGTGTGGGGAAACTAGAAATGACAGGTATGTATGTCTGTTATTGGTATGTATGTATGAGACATAGGTTGCACAGTCGTCGACGTGCGAAGGGGCGCGCTCCGCACCCCCTCCCGCGATTTATGAGTGACACCTCTCACCGCTGCTGCATGTTCGTGACGAAACAGATACACCGAGAAAATTACACGTGTGTATGACGCATGGCTATTAGACATGTGTATGACGTCATGTTTGTATGTGTGGGGACACATACATCGCTAGAAAAAATGACAGGTATGTATGTCTGCGTGTGTATGACGCATGGGTATTTAAACGTGTGTATGACGTCATGTTTGTATGTGTGGGGAAACATAGATCGCTAGAAAATGACAGGTATGTATGTCTGTTATTGGTATGAATGTATGTCTGGGGAAACATACATACCTAGAAAATTAGAGGTATGTATGTATGTTAAAGGTATGTATGTATGTCTGGGGAAACAGACATACCTAGAAAATTACAGGTATGTATGTATGTCTGGGGGAACATACATACCTAGAAACTAGAGGTATGTATGTATGTATGTTAAGGGTATG